CCACGGCGCATTGACAGAGAGAAGATGTTGGAATTGTTGGAAAATGCGATTGTACAAAGGTGTTACAGAGTGGAGCTTTTTCCCTCACAAAAGATCTTTGAGTATAGACAACAGCTTGCAGAGAGCACACAAACCTGACAACAGACTAGTTTAATTTGGCTTGCTATCAAATTATTCATTGAATTAACATTCATTCGTAACAGCTGATTTGTGCGCACATATGCCGCAAAATACTGAGCTGTAGAGCCTGGCTGTCGATCAGTGCTGCAACACTATCTGGCTGTGACAAAACAGAGTGGAGTACAGTAAATGAAGGATCAGATTTTGACTGGATTTATTTTAGAGGATACTAATCCTTTAAAATAATATATTTTATATAAACCCATTTACCCCATTTACCCAAGCCAGTAGTTTTAAAAAAAAAAAAAATTGAACATACCAAAATGATTTACATTTTACATTTCAAATAGACAACTTTTCAAACACGTCAAAGCAAAGAAAAGAAAACAATATCTCTCCAAATAAAAATTTCTGCCAGTAACAGGTTCGCTGTGGCCCTGTGGACAGTAGTTATAGATATCTCTTTTTGAAAACTTTCATCATTAGGACAGACAAAATCATTGAATTGCCAACAACTCTGAAAACCACAGAGTTATATAACTGTCAATTGAGATCACAAGTGGTGATGAATCTTGTGTCAGCAGGAGACACAAGGACACAAATTTAGATTTCATGCGGCAGGAGGATAGTGTGCATGAAATAAGCGGCAGCCTTGGGAAGGTTCTGAGGTAAATAGGCAGTGTGACATTTTCTAGTGCTGCATTTAAATGTTTAGTATCATTTTTTTAAGATTCAGAGCAATGGACATAACTGAGCGGTTTTCATGTTCGATTGCTGTTTATATATGATTGAAGGAATGCAACTCTACTACTCAGCTAAACACTGGACACTTTGAAAATCCTTAGTTCAATGTGCAATTCATCATCAGAAGAATTGCACAAGGAACAAAAGGTTATTTCTAACGTCAAAAATCAGAACGCAGGATGGAAACCGCATATTTTCCAGTAACGCATGAGGAAACACAAGTACTAAACAACAGTAAAATTATTCTATATTTGAATTATGATTGGTTGAGAAACACCCAGAATCCCTTTTCTTCCATCTGTAAGTCTTCAATAATGTGTGTGAATATACCTTATGTGTATATATGATGTATCAGGCTTTAGAATTAGAGAGAAGAAGAAGTAGATAGAGCTACTTTATCTTCTTCATCTATAATTTTATCTCTATTTTAAGCCCAATCTCTTTCTTGCTCATTTTTGCCTCCGAGGCGTATGTATTTCCTGTGGTGTTGTCCTCTCCTCATCCAATTTGACTTTGATCTAGCAGATTTTTTATCTCAATGTCACAATCTATTCTGCAAATCATCAGTATTGTTTTGATTCAGTCCGTCACCTTTTTGTAATACACATGGTGTTATCAGGTCTTTGTAGTTTTCTGTCCACTCTCTTGTGGATCAGGGACCACCTGATGAGACTCAATTCTCTTCTGTTAAGCCCTGATATTTTAAAAAAAGGTGGCGTTCTGGCATTAGTATATTGGATTCAAATTTGAGCTAATTGTTCATTGCTCTGCTTATTAAAAAAGAAATTTCATGGGCATGCTTTGTAACCTTGGTTCAAATTTTCTTTTTCTCAGTTCATTTTATTCTCTTTTAAAGAGGCCTTTTTTGTAGAGTTGAATTTGTGATTGAGTTAGATGCATGTAATGTATGAATGCTGTTGTTTGTTTTCAGTGTTGTTCATGTTCCTTTTTAAATAGTTTATTGGTTTTCTATTTTTTCTCTGGACTTGAGAGTTTACACAAATTTTATACGACAGTTGATGTAAATAATGTAATATTGCCTATTGTAGTAATCTTATTACTCCAGACTGGAGGTGTAGCTACAGCAGAGATTACCAACTCTGTATGTATAGGCGGTTTTCTACACATACTGGGACATGCCAGAAGAGTTTGTGATTATAAAACATTGCAGGGTGAGGACAGAATACAACTGAATCTGGCATGGCGATATTATGCCCATACATCAAGTAAAAAAAAAACAATTTGATGTCATGTTGGGCCAGTAGTTTTAATACCAAAACCATATTGCTACAACATTGCTGGTTCGATTCCATTCAATCAAATACAAAAGGTTAATGACAGAGCAGTCACATCAACATCAACATGTAGTAAATCTGTAACATTGAGGAATTTGTCTCATCTGATAATCATGACAATATAATTTTCCACTGCGGTGGCTACAAACCAGATGTTGACAATTTCTGTGATTTTCATAACTGTTACTGATTATGAAATGATAGCTTTATGTGTGACAGCCCAGTGTATCTCAGCTGCAGCACTAAGCAGGGTCTGACGAACATTGTTATGAAGGCCAGAGCTTCTGCATCAATGTGCGAACACCAGTCAACACTGTCGAGCACTTGTTCACACTCTCGCACATCTATGGCCAGTTTATTGCTCCCTCTGCATACTGCTACAGGCAGCAGAGAGGGCAGTTAGGGACAAATTATGTCTTTATAAAAACATTGCCTTGTAAAATTTTGGCTCATTTTATTTTCCATTCCGCCCTCCCTGTAGTTTCATGGCCTCTCGCAAAAATCTAGTGCCAAACACAGCTTCAAAACTAGCCTGGTAATGTGTTTTTGCAGCCAATCTCTCAGTCCGGAGGTAGCATCCCGCTTAGTATGGAAGCTTTTTGTATTCAGTATAAAAAAATAAAATGTTATATTCAAACTGGCAATTTAATATTATTACATTTATCACAGAGTAATAGTGCAAATATCTCAGCCGCTCAGAAAGCTACTCAAAATAGACTTTCACTACGAGGTACAGTTAATGTCTAAAACATGTAATGTGTTGGCTGGACCTTGTACTTCAGATATAATCAATATCTGAAATAAACTTTGTCCACCATACCTATATACTATATTATACCCAGCTTTATTTATTCATAGGTACAATACAGAAGCATAAACATTAAGATCATACATAAACATTCTATTTTCGCTGAAAAGACTAATGAAGTGGCATTAGTCTTGTCACTCAGTTTTTATATTCCAAGTTGAATTCGTAATGCTTGCTTCTATAAAAAAAAATAATATGAAGGCGCAATATAAAAATACAAACCATCTGCTCAATAGGGAAATGTGTAAGATAAGCAGGGAAATTATACAGTTTCTGTCTTCATATCTGGTTTAATTTTGCATATACTGTAGGTAAATTATGAATATTTCATTTTTAATTATCATATTGACTAGTGTACAAAAAGCTTCCAGTTTTTCCTTAAGTTTGCTTGTGTTTTTGTTTATTTTTTTGTTTGCTTGATCCGTGCCCCCTCCATGTGGTTTTGCTCCCCTCCCCCTACAGCCCCATCTGCCCCCCCTCAGGAGGTACATCTGGTCAGCCTGAGCTCCACCAGCCTCAAGGTGAGTTGGGTGGCACCGCCCGCCGCTAGCCGCCACGGCGCCATTGTGCGCTACACAGTCAGCTACCAGGCGCTGGCTGGAGAGGACACAGAGCGGCATGAGGTGACGGGCATCGGCGAAGACGCCACTAGCTATGTGCTAGATGGCCTGGAGAAGTGGACTGAGTATCAGGTGTGGGTGAGGGCGCATACTGACGTGGGCCCAGGCCCTGAGAGTTCCCCAGTGAGGATGAGAACCAAAGAGGATGGTAGGTTAACACCTCCCCTTAAGCAGAGTGCTCTCAGACTCTTCACATCTGTGTTGCTTGGGGCTGCCTGTCACTATTTTTCTTCACTCTTTTCAACTTCTTCAGCACATTTCTCTGTGTCCTGTTGATCAATTTTGAGTTAATGAGGCGATACTGGTAGCAGGGGGGAGTTCACCTTCTCTTTTTTCCTCTTTCCTGCTTGCTCTTTATAGCTTTAACACTTTACATCTATGGCAGGTGAAGGCTCATCCCCCCCAGGGCCTCAGCTCTGCACCACTTTCCTCTGCTTTCACTGTTTGAATGCCTTCTTGTTTTCTTTCTTCGGTTCTGAGGAATAGAAGTGGAGCAGCACTTCCCCTCTTCGTTCTACCGCTCTTGCCTCTTTTACTCACTCGTTCCTCGTTTTGTTTGCAGTCTGATAGAGAGCGGCTGCCCCTAAGAGAGACTCATCTATAATTAATGTGTTTGAAGTTTGCTGCAACACAGCTAATTTCATACCGGAATTAAGGGCATTACAGACACAGCTAGACCACATGCTGTCCCGCATAGGGTGTTTTGGGGACACAGTAGACACACAAGGTCTAAACTGAGTAGAGATGATTTTGATTCATGGCCAAATCTAGTATCACTTCCTTCTACAGAGCACCCAAGTCTATAAAAAACCCAGGAGTCATTATTTTGATAGTTTTTGGCTCCTCATCACAAAACACAGTGAACTGAGGAAAGTCACTAAGTCAGCATGTTTTGACTCTTTCCTCCCTCCCTCTCTCTCTCTTACTGTCTGTCTCTCTCTTTCTTTCTTACTCTGCTTTCCCTCCCTCTGTCCCCCTTTTTTTCCTGGTTTCTAGTGCCAGGAGCACCCCCCAGGAAGCTGGAGGTTGAGGCCATAAACTCCACAGCAATCCGGGTCACCTGGAAGCCTCCCCTGCAGGGAAAGCAGCACGGCCAAATCCGTGGCTACCAAGTCATCTTCTCTCGGCTTGAAAACGGCGAACCGCGGGGCCAGCCTAACATCATGGATGTTGCTTTGCCAGAGGCGCAGGTACTGGATGATGTCTTACTCTTGTCCAGTCTTCTTCTGTCTCTTTTCACTGTCTATTGCTGTCTTATGTTCATTTCCCATTATTGTCATTCTCCATCGCTCCTCTATTCCCTTCAATTCTCTGAGTTCACGCTTCATTTCACCCATACCAGGTGACACACATGGAATTTCCTTTCTGTCGACTGCAGTATCCCCCTCCCCTCTTTTTTTTTTCATCGTTCTCCACATGTGACATTCGACTCTAAATTGGTACCCTTCTCCCATAGCTTTGGATTAGCTGTCGTAACAAGATCCATTCTAATTCTACAGTAATAGCTATTAAATATTTTATATGTGTTACATCAGGATGGGGCTTAGTGGAATCAATGCACCTCTCTTTGCGGTTTAAGCAGTAATACATATGCACTGCCTTGTTACCATGTTTATAAATTAGAGGTTTTTTCCTGACACCGCCCTTTACACATTAATGCAAGCTGCTTCGAATCACCCAAAGCTGTGTGACACCGTGAGATGGATGAGAGATTGTAATCCTTAAGAGGGATTCAGAGATTCATGAATATCTTAAAACCAAAAATCCCACTTTCACTTTCTCCCTCTCTTCGGGAAAGAAAAGACCAGCTTAAGAGCCTCTTTCTGATTGTTTGCCGTAAGTAACATTTGCGCAAACACGCATTCGCTCATACCCTCGATGGCCTCACACAGAAACATCTCATTTGAACAAGGAAGCGCTCCCTGGCCTCAGGAAAACCACCAAAAAAATCTCAACAGCCGTGCCTGTGTCTCTGAGCAGCGTTTGCTAATAAATGCTTTGCAGCAGCATTCAGGGAGACCAACAGGTTGCTGGTTCAGTTCCCAGGAACTACACACTGCTGTGCCCTTGAGTAGAGCTATTAACCCTCGTTTGCTTTGGCAAATACCCCGCTGTCCTAAGTATTATCAGTTTAGAAGAGGAAGCACTGTCAAAGTCACCTTAAAAATTACATGTCAGATGTGCTACATCCCAAGTGACGCTAAGTAGAGAGTCGAGGATCCCAGTTGTGTAACAGAGCCTTCCTTGATAAATACATAATGAGCTACCCAAGTGACCCATCTCACAGGGGACAATTTCTAAGCTTAAAATGTACATTAAGTTAATTTTGGCCAGAGAGAGATGAGAATAGTATAAAAACTTTGTGAAGCAAAAATGTTGGACAGCAGTAGTTTGTGGAAGCTGCTGCAGACAGTTAATTGTTATCTGACTTTGTACTAGAATGTTTGACAGCCAGGACTGCATCGTCTGGTCTGGAAGAAGAGAAAAACATGGTGGCTGCATGTCTTCCTGGAAGTTGTCCTTATGTCGACATGTTTAGCATGACTTTGTTTTGTGTTATGAAAACTGAACTGAACATGACCCTGCTTGTTGTGCAAACAGCACTCCCTGCCATGTCTCATTTGTGCCAGGTTCACACAATAAACACAAAGACACACTGTAATTTGGCGCTCAGCATAGCTCTCATGTTCCAGTTTGGTGTCCAGGACACCTCTCGAACTCACCGTCCCCTCCCTGGCAGAAACCTGAATTTCACCTCCCTCCTCCTATGTTTTTCCTTTTATCCCTCCTTCCTACTCCCTTCCCTTTCTCTCGTGCCCTCCTTTCACACCCTTCTTGTCTGAAAAGCCAATTGAGTAATTACCAGAGGCTTGCGTGCAGGTTGGTTACCCTTGATTGAGTCATCTCAACAGATTTTTTCTATGAGACAACGCTGAGTAGCCAACCTGCAAGGACCTGCCCGGACGTCATTAAAGACCACACAGTCAGCCAACGCTCTCTTGTCTACGTTCGCCCAACTGGTTTTTAGAACAATCCCTCCTTTTCACACATCTTTCCATTCACATACCCCAACAACAAGTGGAAAAAATAGTGGAAACAGATAACATGAGCAAACATGCTCACTGCTTCGATCAACCTTGTAGTAGGCGTTCCAGCTGGCTGAGAAGAGTTCATGACTCATCCTAGACTCATGCAAATCCCTCAAACGCACACCTGTAATTGATGATAAATAAAAGGAAAAAAACAATTTTCTTCTATCCTGGCACATCCCATAGTGTTTCTCTCAAGAATTTGCCTAATGTGTTGTGAAATCAGTTCCATATCCACCCTTTCACCTGCATTGGATGCACAGTAAGCCTGCCAGGAGGAAAATAAAAATCCAGATTTTCCAGGGCTCTCACAACACAGCACAACCTCACCTTAGACTTCAATCACAAATCTAAGCCGACTGATTGGATTGCAGATTCTGTCAAAATCGCTATCACCTCTCCCCTTGTCTTTGTCTCTTTGTTTCTGGCTCCTTCTCTCCTCTTCACCCTCTCTCAGGGTTAGCTGAAACGCTGGGAGGAGTGCTAGGAAAGCTTGCCTGTGCGTGGGCGGGTTAAGCGCCTCTTTTTCTTTTCAAGCAGGAGCCCACACAGCGCCCTCATTTCCCTGCTAAATTTAAACCAGAGGCCATGTTAGCAGTATGATGTTATCGACCCCTTTCCAACCATATTTCTGTTGGGAAAGTGGCCTGAACCTGAGTGGGCAACTCCGCACCACATAGCCTGCTTCATCACTATGCACTCACAGCAACCTCTAGGCTCATGCTTTTCATATACCTATAAGAGTCCCCGGAAAATGGCGTGATTGAGTTTGAAGCCATTAACCACTGTCTGCACTTCTATATATTTTCTGCACAAGTTTGCCTTCCTGCACAAGTTTGCCTTTATTCAGCACTACTTTTCCAGGTTCATTTTGTTTGACCACTCATGCGTTTTTCTGGTGTGTGTGCGCGTTTGTGTGTGGGAGCGAGCGAGGCAATGCTTCACTGCCTCTACGGCCTTCACTGCCTCAGATTGGAGTTGAATGGGAATCGGAAAAAAAAGAGAAAAGAAGCACCTCAGCCCGTTTCACTCCATCAATCATGACAGCTCCTTCTCTTCCACATCACTCGTTCCCCCCTCGTTCCCATTTTTATAGCCACACATCTCAGCCCATGTCATCACATTTGCATTCACCCGCCTGCAAATTATACCGCTCCGTTTCCACAAACGACGCTTATCAGCAATGATGTGTTTTCAGCTTGCGTTGGCATTCGAAATATAAATGAGGGATAATTTATAATTCTCCCATGGATTTAAGCAGAAAGCAAAAGCAGTTGCGATAGTTAAGGGATTAAGCCCAAGATGAGATAGGAACTCTTGCGAACCTTAATGTGTTCGCTGCTCTGTTGACATACTGAGTGGAGTCGACGGTAAACAAATTAAGCAATTAGGCACGTCACAAACTGTTATTCATGAAGTTAAGTAGCAGCTGTTCTTAAATGGTACTATTTAGTGCCCCGCTATGTCGGGGGAGCATGAGGCGGCAGTTTTTAATGCGCCGGGTGTGTCGACCAGTCGCAACTGAGACCATACAGAGGCCTTGCTCATGCTTCAGTTAGCTGGTTGGTGGTAAAGACTCATCCACAGGGAGGAGGGCGGAGAAGTTGGGTCTTTTGTCTTTTCATATGCCAACAGTCAATGGGGGATGATGAACACCGTCTCTCCAGTGCACAATGAATCAGCAGAGTGTGAGACTTTCTCTCTTTGTTTGTGGAAGTCCGGCGTTGCTAGAAGGGAAAGTTAGCCAAGCAGGAAGGCAGGCACCACTGATTAATTTTGTCTTTAAAGGTACTCTGTGTAACATTTAGGAGGATTTTTGGGGGAAAAATGGAATGTAATAATTATAAATGTTTTCATTGGTGTATAATCACCTGAAAATAAGAATATTTGTGTTTTCATTATCTTAGAATGAGATTTTTTCCACTCTGTCCACTGCATTAAGGACTCAGCTGTGTGACATGGGAAAATATATTTTTTGTAATCTGGGTGAACCGAACCTTTAACTAATAGAACTCTCTATGGTTCCTTCGTCTCCTTTCCTAATCCCTACAGGTCCCTGCATCACTGCTTGCCGGTATCCTCCATCTCTCCCAATGTTCACCTAATGTTCAAATGTAATCACTTACCACCGCCACCCTCATCCACCTTTCTTCCTTAGCCTCCCTTTCTTCCGTGTTCCCCATTTTGTCCCACATAAGTGTCACCAGTGTCATCTCTCCTGTCCCTTGTCAGCCAGGTCACACATCAGTGAACTCCTCTGCAGTGACTGAACTGTGGAGCTAGTTGCTGGTAAACACCAGCAGTTGCGTTCTGCATCGATGGGGTTTGATGTCACAGGGCTAGCATAGCAGCACTGGTAATAGGATTTCACGCTCGGCACCGACGGAGCCCCGCGGCACGAAATGGGCTTTCACTTCCCTCGGGAATCACTTGGCCAAGCACAGCGAGCAAGAAGAACATTTTGAAAACATATTGAAATATAATGAATAAAAAGCCCTCCCTCCATTTCTGAAAGGGAAGAGGAAATGCTTCAGAGATTCAGCATAGTTTATGCTTTATTTCCACAGTGAGATAGTTATCATTCTGAAAAGAGGTGTTATGTGATCAAGGAAGAGAGAGGTTTTTATTGGATTCACAGGCAAATGAAAAACAAGGCAGTGCATCATAAACAATAATGAATTTCACCATCATTGCTCAACTTTGCTTCCCAATTTTTTTGTGCCACTCAACTTGTCTTCATTTCTTTTTTTTGTACTCCTCCTCTTCCATCACACTCTCTCCCCCTGTGTTTTTTTGTCTACTGCATGACTGTTGACACCTACATTCATCTGTCTTTGAGCGAAAAAAAGACAAGCGCTTTTTTTCCATGCCTGTTGTGTTGTCTCTGACTCATTTCTCTCCCCGCCCTGTGTCCTGTGTCTTCTCTCCCATCAGTGGAATATTGAGGAGTCCACCGAGCATGTGAGTAACCCTCATGTGTGCTGCTGGGTTGTCTTGCAGGGCAGGCTCTTCTCCCCTCTGCAATTTGGGGGTGCTGTGTGTGCTTGTGGATTATGAGTTGTGTGGGTGTGTGTGTTTATTTCTGTTTGTGCCATGCCTGTAATCCACTTGGTGTGAATCCTCATGAAAGATCATAACCCCATCATAACCACAGCAAGAGATGTGTTTCCTAATGATTCCTGTTTTTTTTATTTGTGTGTGTGTGAGTGTGTGTACCACAACCACAAAGCATGAGGATTATGTCTACTGATGATTGCGTACAAGTCTTAATATTTCAACAATTTACCATAAGACAAACTCGTAGTAACAGCTGGGCATTCACACTGATCTGAGGCGCTTACTGCAGTGAGCATGCAGTGCTTTACCCCGTCATTGAGCGTACAGTGCAGTCGAAGGCTGTGTGTCACTATCCCGGTGTGATGCTGACATTAATCAGGCTCACCTAACCTGCTGTCTCACCTACTGTTCCAGATGACATGTCTATCTGAGGGGAGGAGCTGTGTGTTTTATCAGCTCCACACATCTCCAGGATTGCCACCAGCCTTTCATGTTCTTTTCATTTGCCTGGATGGCATCTCCCTGTTCCATGGCTGTCACGCAGCCTTTTGTTATGGCTTATTACCTCCTAGGCGTCATATTGCACTGGCATAAATGCAGAGCCACTCACTGTTCCCCAGTCAGAAATTCAATAGAAACCTGACAGAATAACAAACATCGTTTTCAGCATTCAAATCAGGGCAAAGAAGTTGTTTAAAATAAACGTTTATACCTTTTAATAAACCACATTAAAGAATTAATTTGAGCAATTTTAGATACTTGTTTCCTCTCTGACATAACACATAGAAAGCTGGTTAATCAATCAAGTGACCACCTGTGTAGTTTTTTGTTCATCTGTTTATACATCAGCACTGTCAGTTTTTTCTTCCTTTAGAAATTGATCAGCGGGACGTGCGCAGATCATTTTATTTATTTGGTAACAGCCAGTTAAACAGAAATCTGTTTGCACATCACACATGGGCAGATTCTTTCAGCTACACCCACATGGCATGAGTCAGGCTTGCCTCCTCTCCCCCTACTCTTAATGTGTTGATTAACACCTGACAGGCACAGAACTAGACACTGTCAGAGGAAGACATCTGTTCACACATCTTTATTATTTCTTTAGCAGCCATGTTTAGGCGATAGCAGTCTGTGTGCCAGGTAACTAATGTAGTGTGACTAGCCACAGACAGATGTCAACAGAAAAAAACATTAGCATGTCTTGTTGACCCATGGCATTCTCACAGGGAGTAAAATTTTGAAGCAATTTACATTGTTTCAGATAATTATGGCATTTTGAATGCAAATCACCATAAATAGAACACACAGTGTCAAACGTAGTGCTATAGTAAAAAAAATGTCTGAAGCTTATATATTTGTCTTAACAATGCGGCCCATTTTCCCCTGGCATTTTCTACCCTGGTGAGGATGGTGGTGTAGGGAGGGAATCCATTTCTATAACTAGTCGACTCGATAATCTCTGTAATGCCCTTTGGTGCTGCTCTAAGCATTTGCTCTGAAGGAAACTTTGAAGCCTTGCTTTTTCTATTTTCTGCTGAGTTTCAAAAGTGTTACTAGACCCGATTTGACCTTGCCAGAATTAGGGAAAAAAGATCTCTGCGGCTGCCACTGCTGAGACTGTTAAAGCTATTTTGTATGATTAAAGTAATGAGACTGCCTCCATAAAGTTAAAATGGTTTTATGATACAGTAATTTAGCATTTTCTCCCCCGTCTCTCTTAAAGGCTAGTATGAGAGCACCAAATGTCCCTTAAAAAGAGGGGCAGTAAAAAGCATTGTCAAACAGAGCTGGCTTATATAGACTGTTAAATGCTTTTCTATGGTTAGGAAATTAAAACTTCATTAGTTAGAGAAACAGCGTTAGGGCAAAGCCATATAATATTCCAAGAGTATGAGAAGTTTGCGTGGAGTTCCGTCAGGAAGGCTTGTAGGCATCAGCGCGTTCGTCCTCTCAGTGGCCCCAGTCAGCCAGCATGTGTGCTCAAGCCGCAGGCGTTAATTTGTTCTCTGTATCGAGTGTGTGCTCATGTCTGCGTGTATCATTGTGTGCGTAAATGCATGCATACCTAGTGTGTCTTTTTATATACAGTATATATACTGTACATGGGTGAGTATTAATGTATGCGTGTGTATGTCTGTCTACATATGGGCTTTGTTCAAGCTCAGAGTGTTTAATTCCAGTGTGTGTGGGTGTGTTTTTATTCAGACTGATGCAGACTGGTGAAGTGAGTGCCAGCACTGCAGCAGGTTACCAATAACAGTGTGTTACCACAGTTGTTTGCTGTTTTTCTGCTGTCTGTTTGTTCTCAATTGTTGAGTTACTGATGTATTCAACCACCTTAGTGTGTCTGTGTTTTTTAGTGGAGATTGTTAAACATTCAACCCAACACTTACATAGGAATCCAGAGGACAGTAAATACCAAGAATCTAACTTTTTCATTAAAAAAATTAATGTGTAAAATCAGTTTGATCATTTTTTCTATCTTTAAGTTTTATTAAGAGTTTTTACAATATGTCCCACAGTCAGAAGTGTACTTGTTTGTGGGCTTTTACAGACTGCAGTTTAGTGATGACCCTGAGCTCCTCTGGGTATAGCCTCATGCTTATCCATGCAGGAGACATGAACACTGACACACTGGTGATGTTCTAGTTCATTTGTTTGGTTTGTTAGTCAATGGGTTCAGCGTGTGCCTTACGATTGGGTACAGGAGTTTTTCTTGACTAAGAAAAGTTCCTGGTCCCGTTTGTGTGCCTTCAAAACTTCTCTCTGTTAAATGCTTCAAATGTTTTATTTCCTGTTATAGGTAAATTGATCAAGAAACTACGAGTGGATAGGGAAGGGTGTTTCATTTTACTGTGGTTTCTTTTGGTGCTGTGTGTTTTCTGAGGGGATAGGAGCTTGTGTGAGAGGGGTTTGTGTTTTGTTTTTTTGCTTTTGAGACGGTCTCGCTCAGGTTCACCTATTCCTTTTAACCTCTGACTTCGTGATTTTTCCATTTTGCAGGAGGCCATCATTGGTGGACTGCATTCTGAAACCACCTACTCTGTCACTGTGGCAGCGTACACCACGAAGGGAGACGGAGCTCGTAGCAAAGCTAAAGTCATCACCACAACTGGAGCAGGTCAGAGTCGTTTTTGTCAGGGTTATCGTATAAAACATAGGATATGTGCTATCTGTTTACAGTGAATACTGTGCTATTATCTTTAAGGCTTTAAACTGATAACCTCTGTCTGCCTCATTCAAGACGGTACTATGATGAGAAGATGTTAGTTTTAGTGGGTTGCTACGTGTATGTTATCTTTGTTATATAGGCCAATTTATAAAGAAAAAAAAAGTTCAGGATTTTGTGAAATACACATATTCACTTTCTGGCAGGGAGTTAGAAGATCAGTACCACTCATATCTGTCTGTTAATTAATGAGTTATGAGTTAATCAGTAAGCTTTAGAGCTGCTGGTTGGCAGATTATGTTGCCTTTTGATAGAGCCAGACTAGCTGTTTCCAGCCGTAGTGCTAAGCTAAGCCAACCAACTTCTTTTTCTAGCCTAATATTTAGCAGACAGATGAATAGTGATAAGAATAGTATCAATTTTCTCATCTAACTGAGATAACACCAGAAAACAAATTAGCACATTTCACAAAAAAACTATTAAATTTGAGGGTTGTTTAAAACAGTGACTGCATGTGTTAAGGAAATACAACACAACTTATTCTTTTATTTCCACTTCGATCTATTTTCAGTGCCGGGAAAGCCCACCATGATGATCAGCACTACTATGGGCAACACTGCGCTCATTCAGTGGCAGCCTCCTAAGGAAATGGTGGGTGAGCTGATGGGCTACCAGCTGCAGTACAAGCGCACTGATGAAGAAACCTTCACCTCACGCGAGCTGAGAAAGACTGACGACCATTACACTGCCACTGGGCTGCACAAAGGCGCCACCTACGTCTTCCGCCTGAGCGCCCGTAACCGCGCTGGCATCGGTGAGGCCTACGTAAAGGAGATCAGCACCCCTGAAGATGTACCCTCAGGCTTCCCATTCAACCTGCAAGTCACGGGACTGACCCAGTCCAGCACCCAGCTGACCTGGGATCCCCCGCTGGTGGCCGAAAGGAACGGCAAGATCATATCCTACATGGTTGTGTACAGGGACATCAACAGTCAGCAGAACAGCACAAACCGCACGGCCGACACGCACATGACTATCCAGGGCCTTAATCCTGACACCACCTACGACATCCGGGTGCAGGCGTTCACCAATAAGGGCGGAGGACCCCTCAGCCCCAGCATTCAGAGCAGGACTATGTCAAATGGTAGGATAAACGGTCGGACACATGGCTGACATTTATACACAAATATGCCAGAGCTGTTTGCTTTGAAAACATAAAATCAGGGTTTAGTACATACACTGAATCATTACACACTCATGTCTACACACACGCGTAACCTTGCTTACAACATACGTGAGCATGTACATGAACACCCTATCACCTGCTAATGTTTTAAATTTTCAAACTGGCTATTTTTCTGTCTTTATCAGTGTCACATCTTTCTCATCTACCACTCAGTACAGTACCGCACTGTGTTTATTGATTTATAGAGTACTAATCTCATTACACGCTACAGTCACATTACTATGCCGCCTCATCCCCCCTCCCATTAGACACAAATCTAAAGCGTATTCAGCCTGTACCTCCTCATGCATTTTATAATCTTATAAATGTAAAATTTCTTATTTATAACCAGTTGTGCATGATGCCTATTTTAAGACACATGTTGTCAGTCCCTTTATCATATATATTTCTTGGTTATCTCAGAGATTTTGGCCTGTTGCATATGTGTTGTTGCGAACAGTAATAAATGGAACAGGCTTATAGAGATGGAGGCTATATTTATGTGATCTGTAAACAAGCGTGAATGAGATTGTTGATGTTCCTTGAACTCCCCTGTGGCTTGTCAATTTTGGTCACAAGTTATCACCACGGAATATGTTTACATTGTTTACGGGGGGGGGGGGTTATTTGGGGGTGATTTGGGGGGTTATTTGCTGTACAGTAGTGTGAAATTGAATTACGCACATTCTTTGTGTACTAGTTGTTAAAGACAATAAGATATTAATCAAAGGATTTTTCCCCCGTAGATTTTCCCACCCTAAACTTTGGTGTCAAAGCTGTCATGAAAACATCTGTCCTCCTCACCTGGGATTTGCCACCAAACTACAAATCCCAAGTGCCTTTCAAGGTGAGTGCCAGTATTTTTGCATCCTGAAAAAAAAAAAAAAACCCTAGCCATTTACTTAAGGACAGATAGAAAACATTTCACCATGAGCACAGTTTTGCATAGACATAGAAATAGTGTTTTGTAATACTTTGTAATGCTAGTTAATATTATACTTGATTAATAATGATTGCAATAAGACATTTTTAAATCTCCTTTTTTCAACCACTAAAATAAATACAGTACAACAAAAAAATGGAACAGGATTTCTTTCAGTGTTACACAATATATAACATTCACTGAACATATACTTGTAACATAATTGCATTGCAGCTCAATACTATTAGCTATTAACACTTTCACTGGGGTGTGATGCAGTGACTTTCCCTATTTGCACAGAAAAATAGGAAAAGCCAGCCTCAGGCTCATTTATGAGGTGTAATAATCTGTCAAAATCATATTATATCAATTCCCACCCCATTGGTAATGGAGCAAAGACAATTTGAAGTGTAAAAAAAAACAATTGGATTTGCACCAATGGGCAAGTTTGACACTTAAGCACATAAGATAAGGTGTCAGATGAGATGGCCGCCTCTCTTAAGACCATGCTGCTTTTGTCCCCGTGTGCGTCTGTGTGGGTTGGAGGGAGTGAGAGGAGAGCGAATTGCATTTGTCTGGAAGATATACATTTTGTGTATGTATTTTAAGTTAAAACCATAACTCACTGTTTTCCCTTGTGTGCTCACAGATCTTGTACAACCAGCAAAGCGTGGAAGTGCAGGGAAACCTGAAGAGGAGGCTGATCACACAGCTGCAGCCAGACACAGACTACTCTTTTGTGCTGACAAGCAGGGGCAACATTGCTGGAGGTCTGCAGCAGCAGGTGTCCATCCGCACTGCCCCCGACCTGATCAAGACCAAGCCAAGCACACATCAGGCTCAGGGAGGCAAGATGACCATCAACCTGCCTAAGGTCCAGACCACCACACGTGTCAGGTCAGTACTGAGATACATGGGACTGAACGCACGGGGTAGCTCTGACTCTGGGCATTAATCCACAAATAGATGAGGATTCTTTTTAGCCAGTTTTCTTGAATTAGCATAAGTAATTTAGCTTTATTTGTTTTGGTTTCTTGGCTGCTTCAGTGACCCGGCTTTGCATCAGGGAACAGTAACGTATCTTGTGTAAATTAATATTTTAAGTAAATGACAAGAAATTAACAAAGGGCCCCTAAACAGCCACTTGACAGTTGTCAAAAAACGTAATCATTCAGGGTCTAATTCAACTGCAACTCTGAAAACTGAACAACAGCAGCAAGTGGCACGCTTGTATCTGATCAATACTAAATCTATTTTCAAACTTAAAACTGCAACTTTTGGTCTCAGCCAACTTTACACAGCAATTGATGATAATCAAGACTTTTAACATCAGGTCAGGCTGTATTATGTTTTGACTCAAATTGTTTAGAGCAGAATTGTGCCTGAGCCTGACAAGTTAAGCTTTTCCTTCAAATACACACACACATACAGACACATCTGAGTAGGGGGAGTGCACAGGGTTGATTGGTAAAAAGATTACAGGGCTGTCAGGGCTGGCCAAGCTCCAGCACAGATTGACAGGGCAAGAGCACACGTGATTGGGGATGGGAGAGTTGAGGTGTCTGTGTAGGGGGGTGAGGAGTCTTGTTATACATGTCTTCTCCCACTCCCAGACATGACTGACTGTTGAATCACAGAGTCAAGGCCTAGAGAGAAGGAGAGAGAAGCAGCTGCTTTTACTGTCAGCAGCAGCTGATTTTACAAGCGGTGAATGCCGCAGTGGGGGAAAAACTTTGAGCTGAGAGGAGACAGACTGGGGGAGAGCACTAGAGAGACAGACTGGGAGAGAGCACTAGAGAGCCAGACTGGGGGAGAGCACCAGAGAGACAGACTGGGGGAGAGCACGAGAGAGACAGCAGTAGTTAGACAGCGATAGAGAGCCAGTGTATAAATAAACACAGACACATATGTACATTTTGTACTCACAAGCACGTCCCTCCATTCATTACCTTACTCCTTTACTCCTTAGTTTGACCCTAAACTCCTAAATGTCTTTCTGATGTCTTTCTTTTTCTTCTATTTTTGGTCTTAATAATGATAGCAGTAAAGAACACACACGAGTAGTCACATAGCCGGTCCTATTAACCTAAGGATTCCTATGGGGATCTCTATTAGCTGAAGGCTTCTCTCGCTGGGATAGTGTTTGTTCCAGTCTACGTGGCAGATGTTCTTAGTCATTAGCCATTAATTGGAGAACGCAGTGCCAATCTGCTGGTGTTCGACCTTGGTTGGACCCGCTTGTGTACCACTCAAGTTTTGAATTCAGCCCAGGAAGCCTCACAGTCAAAGTATGTCTTTCTAAATGTTTTGACTGTGTTATTAATGCGCCTGGCCCACTTTGATCCCAGCGTGTATGTGCTTCAGTAAGTCTGTCTTAACACAAGCTTTATTTTTCTTGGCAGGTGGTACTACATCGTGGTGGTGCCGGTGTCCCAGTCAACACGGCGGTGGAAGAATCCAGACGAGATGGACCTGGACGAGGTTAGTGCCAGCCGGTGGCTGATTGGCTCATGTGCAAGGTCAGGGGGCACCAATAGCATCTCCCGTTCCAACTGGGTAGGAAGCCACTGGTCGTAGCTAATTAGCTCTACCCTCCTGGGCGCAGGGAGGGGGGGGTGGCAGGGCAGGGAGATTTTAAACAATGACTCACTGGGGCAGGTGGGGAATGTCCTGATCGGACGCCAGGTCTGCAAACAGTTCCCATCTGCTGAATTCAACAGTTTGAGTGCACAGAGAATAATCTTAATCTTATATAGCTATTGATGATGTTAAGCAATGTTATGCAAGTAAACTTTATTTATACAGCACTTTTCAAAACAGTAGTTACAAATTACTGCTCTGCCTCTATATTTTTCTTTATAGTCTTTGTAATAGGAGTTTGGCAACTACAAACAAAGTTTTACATAAGGTATTCAAATGAGGATAAAGATTTATGACTGCTTTATTATTCTATTGAAGAAAGGTCCTCCTCGTCCACAAGAGAATTTAAGCTAAATGACATGCCTAAATATTAATAGCATCATTTTAAAGTAAACTGCGAGGCTCGTTGGTTTGGATCACTATTGTTCAAGCTCCCTGAAGAAATAACAGAAGAGACCAAGTGAGGGAGAGATATGGGACTTCCTGAGTCATTAAACACTGAGCAGGCCATTGTCTCCTCCCTCCGACATAATGATTTAATAAAGCTACATCTGGAGCAGCACATGAGACATCACTGACAGAAAACAAAATGCTGCTGAAAACACAATGCCGCAGTGCTGTATGCTCCTGCTCATTTATTAACCAGGCTGGCAGTCATGCTGAGATTGTGTGCTGGAGCAAGCGCTAATTGCTCACTTCGTAGCTTGGCTGAATTGTTTGCAAAGTTATATCACTGAGCAAAGGGCATTTTAGCAAAAGTGGAATCATTATCTCTTATTTGGAGGCATGGTAAGAACCAGACCTCAACGTACAGTTCGAATGCAAAGTGTTTTGGGGTTGTTGTTTTTTTCCTTTATTTTAGAGTCAATGGAAGTTAGGGCATTCAGTTGCTCTATTGACTTTTTTTTCACATGCAACCCACATAGATTTTTTTGCCCAAAGTCCCACTGATTCTTGTTCAATGTTACAGTATTATGTCGTAAACTTAGTCTCTTCATTAATAAGAAATCATTTTTTTCTTGCTGCTCCTCAGAGGTCAGGGTCCTACTCACTTTAAGTCTTTGCTGCCAAACTTGACAATAACTTTTACTCTCCCCATGTTTTCCACAGCTACTCAGGTCAAGTGAAGGCCCTGTTCTGAGGCGCAAACGTCACCTGGATTCCTCCAAGCCTTACATTGCGGCCAAGTTGGCCTCGCTGCCGACCACCTTCACCGTGGGCGATGAGAAGAGGTACAACGGCTTCTACAACAAACCCCTGACCAGTCCGCAGGAGTATCTCTGCTTTGTCCTGGCCGTACTCCGATACGAAGGGACAGACAGCACTGCTAATTATGTAAGAGACACCCCCACACACACGTTAGTTAAAACTTTCATTTACAATCATTCACAACAGGCATAATAATAGTATTTTTCGTTTTCTAAGTAAGATCCGATAAAATAGACCTTAATTTATCCCAAGAGGACATGTTTTATAAAAAGTCCAAATCCAAAATACACACGATGCCAAAAATATAAAAAAAAACATCCTGGATATGTCAGATAAAAATGTACCTGAGCCCGTTCTGAATATTTATACGTGTCAGCTTTTCTTTTTTCAAACAAACTATTTAAGTTTATCACCCGGTCTCCCTCTGCTCTAACCACGCTTTCCATCAAGCGTTTCCAAAATGGCAGTGGCAAGCCAAATTGTTGTTGTTTTACTGCCACTTAGCCTTTACTACAGTCGCCTCTAAAAGTCATTGCAGCTTGTCCTGATAACTCCCTTATCAGTCGACAATGACATCAGAGATCCAGCTTTGCCATTTCAGCAGCCAGCGGGACCCAGTGCAGATCTCTTTACAATGCTTATACAAGACTCTTGGCTTTCTAAGTGGAGGCCCCATGCACTCGTCAAACAGCACTAACGCGGAGGCTCAGCTCTCTGTGGGATGGGCTGGAGTAAACTTCACTGCAGGAAGAATGAGAATCTGCAATTGCTCTGGGCTCCTTCACTACCCGGGACATGCATATTCAGTGGCTGGGCCCCCAGGCGACCACAGAGGGAGAGAGAGCGAGTGCTCCGTGTCCGAAAACCAAATCCTAGACTTTTCACCTATTTCTTTCTGTTCTCTCTCTCCTCTCAGCTCTTTTTCTTTCGCTCACTCTCTGCTTCTCGGTGTCTCTCTCCCTCTCCCCATCTTTCTTGACCGTGAAGAGAGCAGAGGAGATTGATTAGTGCGGCTGGAGTTAAGAGGGAGACGAGGGACTGGTCACAGGGCCTAGGGTGTCTGTAAAGCAGGCCTGATTCCCTTGAAATGCTGCTTTAAATGTCCCTAAAGCCCCCCCTCTACCAGTAATCCCCGACTCCTTCGCTCTGACAAGGGGAGGGAGGTACGAAGGAGGCTATAGTGGGCAGCCATGATACACTTGACTTCAAAAGAGATGCTTAAACCCCATCGCTGCACAACACTCTCACTGCACCTGCCAGATGTACCAGGTTGGATCAGTGGCGCTCAAGATTAGTCTTTTTCTGTGTACTCCCCCTCCTTAAACTGTGTAGCACCCTCCCACTTTTACACTTAATCGCTTGGATTAATCAGGCTTCACTCACAAGGTGAGTCAATCGGTGTGTTTACCTTCACTGCAGTAACCCAGTTATTGACGGCTTTCTGCAGTAAACTTAAACGTCATGCAAATGAGACACCTGATTTCCTTAAATGGCGTACAGATTTACAGAAACTCACTTGCCAGGGATTCATTGCTTGAGAAACCTTTTTTTTAACATGTATAAACTCAAACAGGGTTTTTACATGTGCGCATGTGCATGACAAAGACTTTAGACAGAGAAGGTGTCGCTGTGACAGGGATTAAAGGAAAGATCTTTACTCATTGCAGTGCATCCTTGTACCCAAAATAATTATATCCAAAGTCAGATTAACACTGAAACTGAAAAAAGATGTCTAAAGTTGACATCCACAGCTGAGCAGTAGGCTTTTTGTAACAAATCAAACATATGCGCACATCAAAAGGAAAAAATTGTCAGAGCATGTCCTCTCACTGAACTGCCAGTCCAAAGTCCTCGACCAAAAAAAATAAAAAAACCTCTTCAGGCTACAGCTTGATACTGTGTCACAGATTCACTCAAAATGTGCCATCCCTGGTTGAAAATACAGTAGTATAGGAAAGAAATCCTATAACTGACCTGCTGCATATAATAAACGCAAGATTTACAGTAACAAGATTACTGCAGTGCATGTGAACACCCTGATTTCCTTATTTATACTAGTAACCTTGTTTCTTGTGTGCATGTAAACATGCTGAATTCTGAGGTGGTGACTACAGTTAGGCTGTCATTGATCGCCGCACAAATCCCCTAACCGCACTCTATGGGAAACTCAGATACCACAGCAGTGTTTGTTTTTGTCACACCCAGCACACAACATTTATTACCAAACACAAACGGGTACAGAAGGTAAAGCGTGCAGCGAGATTGAGCAGTTGGCAGAAGCCGCCTCAAGCAGGATCTTCACCAGACCCAGGAGAATAAGACAACAAGTACTGGAGTAAATGACTTGTGTCTTTACTACACTTCCTCGCCACCACCCAAACTCCCCCAGCGTGGATCAAACAGGACCGCCAGGGTTTAATAAGCCCTCATATATCAATGGCCACAAGCAGCCAGCAGTGGTTGGAGGGAAGAAGAGAAGGAAGGAAAGCAAAGGGGGATGAGAACGAGAAAGAAAAAGAGAGTGTGCCTTCATGTCTCCCCAGCACCCAAAGGCAGATAAACAAGCCGGAGGAAGTGTGAAATGGGATGATAGATGCTGGGTGTGTATAAACAGTATCATTTAATGCGAGAAGAGAGTGAGGGAGGGAGGTAGCATGAAATATTGTGTGATGTGAGACAGAGAGGAGGGGTGGTGTTGGAAGAGAGGAAAAGAGGAAAGCTAAATTTTTGTATTGTGTCCCGTCCAGCCTGTGAAGCTTGCATAAGAGAAAATGAACTGGTGGAAGAGGAGGAGATTGTGCTAATGTGTGCTTTTCTTTTTCGAAGGGAGAGGTGAGATTGTGACGCAGAGAGAAACCAAAGCAGAGAGTGTTCGAATCTGTTTACCACAGTTTTCTGTTTGCAATGCTATCCAGACATTTATATTCTACTCACTCTCAAAAAGAATTGGCTTTGTAGCACTAATTCGGTTGGTGCGTTAACATGGAAGACTGCCTTCTTTCGAAATTCAAAAGGCTTAGACAAACAATATCAAGAGAGAATTATAAAAAGAAGATGTTTTCTCTGGCAGAGAGAACTTGCATATTCAAGCCCAACTTTTCACCAAGGTGGTAAGAATATAGGCAATGTCGATGGTATTCTCTCTTTAACTGTTATGTCACTTCCGCTCCTAGTGGCGTCTCCCTCTAGTGATGCCTCCAGAAATCTGGATGCTTGGTATTCAGACGGCTAAAGAATGAAAAGTGCAGGTCCAGTGCTGAATGGGAAAGAGGGGAGGGTAGGAAAAAAGTATGAAGGGAGAACTACAGTACGAAGGAGAAGGTCATCATACAGGGTAGGCTAGACCCCGCAGCTACATTCCTGTTCCTCATAGATAAAGACATACTCACACATACTATCAGCTTTCCCTCTCTCATTTTGTACCTCTTTTTTTTGTCTCTATATCTCTATTCTCTAGCCTGCCTTCTCCTTCCCTCTCGCTGTCTTTGCCTGTGTCATGCAACAATGAGGAGAGTGTGTGTTCCCCCCTGAGGAGGCTGAGAGCGCGGCAGATACATAATGGCCGTCTTTGCATGTTTGTTTGTTTGTCTGGCGCACACACCTACGGCTTATTTAAGCCACTTTTTGAGACGGCGGGGTCAACGGCGAGTTGAAACAAAATGTGCCTGTGCTGCATGTAGTGGATTCTGCGCTCAGGGGATGGCAGAGCAGAGGCTGACTGGGGAAGCTGTGCAGCCCACGGGCCAGATAGCAGACTCGATATACTGCTACTACCATAACACCTCTGCTTCAGTCTCTCTGTCTCTTCGCTCTCTGCCATCTCTCATCACCCACTCTCTCTCTCTCTCTCTTTTGTTCTCTTACTCTGCTTCAGACAAACACTTACAATCATACACACACACACTCTCAGCGGCTGCGACCTCGACAAACACACATTCTTGTGGAGGCTCAGAGGAGCTTGAGAAAAGGCTCCGAAAAAACTGACGTATGCTCACACAAGCTCTTACACACATTTGTTCACAGCCACACACGTTCTCTTTCTCTCACTGACAGATGCACACACATACACCTATCGACACAAGAAAATACATTCATTCACTCATAATGCTTACTGTGGAATATCTATCTACAGTAAAGTAATAATACTTATCTGCAGTAATCCACAGTCATACAAACTCCTGTGTCTCTTCTCAGTAGGCATGGGCTGTAATAGAATCCAATATTTAATCCACTTTCCAAATTCAATTCTCGTATGAAATCTATTTAGGCTTGGCTCTCAATATTTTT